TTTTTTTTTTTTTTTTTTTTTTTATGTTTTGGGTTAAATTGGATTGATGGATTTTTTTGACCCAACCCAAAAGTTCAGGTGGGTTGGATTGGTAACCCAACCCAACCCGAAACTTTTCACAATCCAACTTAATTATCAGGATACAATCTTGAATCAACGTTGTCATAAAACTAAACAATTGGTTTAAAGTAACAAAAATATTTCGCGTCTCGCTAATGTCTCTTGACTAGCCTAAGTACCAATCTCGCAAACCCATTAATACAAAAAAAATTCTTAATATATTTTATATATTTTTATTTGGCTCAGGTCAACTCGAAAGTTTTGTCCACAAACTCGAAATCGAAGCGATATAGTTCGAGTTCAGAAAAATGAACCCAACCCTACCCGAAATGCTAATCCAACCCAACCCAACCCTTATAGTTCGGGTTGGGTTGGTCCGGGTTGTCAGATTGTCGGGTTGAATGTACACCCCTATTGTTTTATTCTCTTTTTATTTATTTAAAAATTCAAGTTATTTATTTTTCATTCCATTATTTTAAAGATTTTATTATGAAAGTTGAACTCCGTGACATTGTTTAAGAAATATTTTAAATAAATATTTTCGCATTTAACAGTCATGTGATGAATATACTAACAACTCTATTAGAATATAAAAATATGGTCGCGGTAAAAATTGATATGATCTTAAAGATAATCTTTTTTTCCGCTCTTGGTTGACTGTTTTTCAATAATATATGACATATTTTCACTCTGATATCTCTACATGAACGATGAACGATTTGTATAATATCATTTATAACCATTAAAAACAAGTTGATATCAATAGTGTTACCAGCGACGAGGCGTTCATACTATTTCTTGAACATAACATTCTTCTCGTAGTATGTCAACTACAAAATACTCTCAAACATTAAAATGTAAACGATAAGTAGCAACTAAACGTGTTAGGGCTACCACCAAGAGGCCTCTTTACTCATATTAGGCCATAAGGGTTAGCTTAGATCGATATCATTTGAAGTCGAGTTGGTACTTGGGTTGTTTGCTTGGCGTGAACAACCCAAAATGCTTTTCGACTTCTTGAGGACCCTTCAAATTTTCATCGAACATGGCAAAGAGGTAAACATGGATGTCTTTTCCCGGCCTTTTTGGTGTCCCTTTCCTACTCTTCACATGATTGAGAAGATTGTTGTAATAGGTGCCCGCATTCTCAACCGTCGCACCCTTACCACCGGCCGATGGCCAACCAGTCTCTGATATCACAATCGACACGTCTCTTCCACCTGACTTCTCGAGAGCAGCGTAGAGCGTATCGACCATCGCGGTGAAAAGATTATCATACACGAGACTATCGTCCCTCACGAAACCGTCCGGTGGTGAATTGAATAAAGCATAGGGAAGTTGGATATTGGGGTCATTAGCATAGGCAAAATAGGGATACACATTGGCTAGAAGTGGGGAGTGAATTTGAGCTAGAAAGCTAACAATTGGGTTTATAAATTGGTATGCAGCCACATTGAATGAGCCTGCTTGAGGAGGAAATGACCTAGCTGGATCCAATAGTCCTGTGTCTATGGCTGTGGAAACCTTTATCTTTTCATGCAAGTTAGCCTCTACAAGTGCATTGTAAATGCTCTGCATGGTTGGGAGGACGAATGGAGCATTTTTCGGGTCGGTCGAGAACACTTCGTTCCCGACAGCAATGTATCGGAACTTAACATCTTGAACTCGGGATTGGATATACGTTTGGACCCAAGTTTTTGCAGCGGAAGAAGAAGCAAGATATTGAAGCTGGTCACTAGGAATGTCCAACATGACATGTATGTTCGAGCCTTTTAGGGCGTCTAAGGCGGCCTCATTTGGTGAGTAAATCCTTATTTTGCCAATGTCATTGCTTTTGTAAAGCTTAATCACATCTATAATATTTGGTAAGTTGTCGCCACGATCTCCATAACAGACACCGATCGCTTCTGCGCCTATGCATATAAACCATAAAAAAGCTGACTATTTCGTGAAATATTAAAATATATATCTAACTAATTAGGAGTTAATTAAGACACATCGAACAGAGCATATAGCTTAACAGATTGAGATATGCATCTTCGATCAAAAGATTAAAGATTCGAATTCTCACTGTTGTCTGTTCAACTAAAATAAAAGTTAATAAGAACAGAAATGAGAAAGAGAAACGCGTTGAAGACCTGTAGAGATGAACGACGCGAGGAGGATGAAAATGGAAGAAAACACGAGGGAAGGAGTAGAATTGCCCATGGTTAGGGCTATTTTGTGTTTTGATAGCTTAAAGGAGTTGGTATTTATAAGAGGCAAAACCCAATAGGCACTCCAAAAAAAAGTATACTTTTCCCCTTCATTACTCTAAACCAGTCCGAGTAGCACGTAAAACACGTTTGATTTAATTAAGTTCATCCTCTTATTTCGTATCACAAGAGTTTTCGGTTAAAATTTGTTTTATGAAATTGTAACCCATTTTGATCCGTTACGTATCGTCATCAGTCTCACTGTAACGACCAAAATCCACCGCTAGTAGATATTGTCCTCTTTGGGCTTGCCCTCAAGGCTTTAAAACGAGTCTGCTAGGAGAAGGTTTCCACACCCTTATAAATGGGGTTTGTTCTCCTCCCCCAACCAATATGGGACATCACAATCCACCCTCCTTCGGTGTCCAATGTCTTCACTGCCTCATGTCTACCCCCTTCGGGGAACAACGAGAAGGCTGACACATCGTTCGGTGTTTGGCTCTGATATCATTTGTAATGACCCAGATCCACCGCTAGCAAATATTGTCCTCTTTGGGCTTTCCATTTAGGGCTTCCCCTCAAGGCTTTAAAACGCTTCTACTAGGAGAAGGTTTCCACACCCTTATAAATGGCGGTTTGTTCTACTGCCCCAACCAATGTGGAACATCACACTCACTGTTTCTAGAACGCATAGCTCAAGGAGAGATTTCACACTCTTAAAAACAATGTTTTGTTCTCCTCTCCAATCCATATGGAATCTTGCACAAAGGTCATAAATTTAAAGACAATTATTTTATTTTTTTTTGAAAGATTTGAGTGCGATGTGTTCATGAGCTCCAAGTATATAAAAATGATATGAACACGGTTTGTGGGTATGAAATATTAAAATCTATGTATTTTAGGTATAAATCTAGAAAATAAAATCGAGAAAATCACAAACGTGTTGTTGAGGATGGTTGAGAGAGAAAAACATGAGTTTATAAGTAAGAAAAACATCTCCATCCGTATGACGTCTTTTGGGGAAGCCCAAAGCAAAGCCACCCGAGCTTATGTTCAAAGTGGACAATATCATACCATTGTGGAGATTCCTAACACGTGTGAGTCTTGTTCAAAGAATTCGCGTACGTTGAGTCGTTATGATATCGATCATTAAAGGGTCTCAAATTCGAGTACGATGAGCTATTTGTTCAAATTTAAGTTAATTTGAAAAAATTAAGTTTCTATGCCCATAAACCATTGGTGTCACTATCATTTCATAATCAATCACACGATCAAATAAGAAAATTTTATGTGGAAAATATTTTCACCCATACCATACGACACGATAGTTCATAGTCAAACTAATTCTTATCTTATATTAAAATTTTCAC